GAGATTTGGATTATTTTAATTTTGTAGGGTTTTCTTTTACTGAGATCTATTAATTAGCACATTCTACTAGACTGGAGGGAAAAAAAAACCTTAAAAAAATAGACTCCAGGGAACTATCTCAAATTAGCTCATGGATGACTTCTGTCTTCTTTTCCAATGATATTTGCTCTTTGAAAGCTTGGGAGTCTGTTTCATGTTTACCAAAGTGAAAGCTATTATATCACTGAAATCAAAGACCTTGTAAGTAATTTAAGAAGATGAGCAACAGTCTTCTTCAAATGGTCATGAATTGCATGCTCCTGACTGTGAAATTTCTCTGGAGAGAATGGCACAGCCTGAAAACTTGCCCTAAATTTCCATCATTTTATTCTGCCAAGGGCAGGACAAAACTGGCCACAGAGACCTCCTCCTGCCATGGGGCTGTAGTTGCTCTCTCCTCCACAGCCTGGGCAGAGCACTGGAATTCAGACTCCTTTACTCAAAAGTGGTTCTAAATCAAGCTGTGTACAGCAGACAGGAGGTATTCATATCCAGCATTTTGGTTTTAGGCCCATCCTGAATACAAGGATTTTTCTTTAAAATACAGTATTTGAATTTAGTAATGAACAGTACGTGTTAAAAATGACTATGCCAGTTTGCAATACCCTCCCTATATCTGTATTATCAGGGAAGAAGTGCCCAGGAAACAAAGCCCTATATTCAGTCCTGCTGTTAGCCCTTGCATCCTCATTTTATCTGATTATTTAGTTTGCAGCCCAGAGTACAAGCCTAATCAGAACTCCCTATCCTCACTGCTTATATAATAACTTCCTCTGCTTCCTCTCCTTCTGTAAGCTTTACTCTGAAAAAAAAAAGAAAATTAGAGGGTACAAATACTCTCCTAAAAATGCAAGTTGCCTGATCCTTTCTACCTTTTAAAGGATATGGGGCAGTGGGAGATCACACTTCTAGCAATCCGGGGAAGTAAATAGGAGTTTAGGGCATATAATTCTGTCTGATGACACTAAGTCTGTCTTTTGGCTTAGTTAAGTCAACAGAAAATTGTGTTTGGCACAGTATTTGTTGTGATTTTCTCTCATTTTCATTGCTATTTAGACTTGGTGCCTCCATGCATCTGACTGTTTTTAAAGAGCCAATGGGTGATTTTTCCACATTTTTTCAGCTCTCAAAGCTGAAATTTTGAATGCAGCTATTTTCCTTGAATAGGTTTCGTGCTTATGGACTGTTGACTACCTTCTTGATCTGGTCTCGTGCCAGTGTGACTATTTTTGTCAAGGGATCTCCCTTTTGTTGTGGTGCAGGCATTGCTGGTGGGTGCTGGGAGGTGTCTAGATGTCTTTTGTGAAGTAACCAGAGGTGTCAAAAAATAGAAGTTCAGGCTACTCTGAAAACAGCCTCTACTCTCAGTAGCAAATATGAGACAAATACAAGGTCAATTGTCTGTTTTCTTGTGAAAGGTCTTAAAAAGAATATAGAAATTCAATCAGTGAAGAGTTGAGAGAGCCCCAGGTGTCAGCAAATTGGGGAGGTTTATGCAATGTGGCTCGGTCACTCTTGATCTCTCATGTTTGCAAGAGCCCTCTTTGCAAGACTCTCTTTGCAAGAGTCCTAAGAGATTACGTGATTCTCAACAAATTAAAACATCCAGTAAATTAGCCCTAACTACTGCTTTCAGAGACTGCTTGCTTCTCCTCCCTCTTGTCTCTCTCTGAAAAAACCAACATGGTCAAATTTATGATTTGTAGTTGGAGGCACTATTTTAAATTGAGAGCCATTTAAACCTTTAGCACAAGAAAAACTGGCCAGCAGAGTCATGGGTTTATAGGGCAGCACCAGAGCTAGCACAAAAAGTATCCAGCATTTCAAACAGCTCATTCACAAAAATCTGTGTACTGCATTCTGGAGGGAGTCAAATCCTATTTGCCTTTTGGGAGTTGTCACATTGAAGCCAATTGGATTAGTCATTTGTTTGAGGCAAGCAGGATTTAACCCTCCAAGAAACAAAATGGATTTGCTAAATGAAAGGGATTAGTTTTTTCTATGTAATACTGTGATAACAAAACAAGAAACAGCAAAAAGAAAACAAAAGACATCTCTCCTCATTCTTTTTTTGGGTGCACTATGAAGCAAGAAGTAGAAGAGGACTCCTCTGTGCTTTATGCATCTTAATTTTAGTTAATCAACATCTTGATTTCATTTAAATCAGCATGCAAGTGCCAACGGATGCTTTTCAGTATGTAGGTCATAACAGGCTAAATTGGTTTTGGAGGGTGGAGCTCCTCTCTTGTGTTTGAGACAGGGTATACTGTTTGGCCTTAGGCCCAGAGTAATCTGTAGTGGATTTAAAGTTGGACATAGCTTCTGATCTGTCAGTGCTAGGGGCTGGTAAACCAACTGCAGGTATTTGCCATTCTTGGGATGCACTGGTATGGGAAAATAGGCTGCATATGATGATGGCTTACAACGTAATAGATGCAGCCTTTGGCCCTTTCTTGGAAGTGAAATAAAGTTTACATTCAAGGTTTTAGTCTGAGGTAGCACTGGATTCATTCAACACAGAAGGAAGAAGTAAATAGGCAACATGTCCTTTTGTACTGGGAGAAATTTCATGTCCTGGATGGGCACACATGAGAGAGGAATGGTGTTGTTTAATAAATGAACAGCCTCTGCATGGCTGGAGTTAATGAAATCGCAGCCACACTGCACTACAACTCTCAGCTTCTGAGCTTCCTTCCCCAACACTGAAGACACTGAGCATTCCTAGATTTCCAAGGTCTTCCTGCAAGATGCATATGCTCCCAGATGCATCCTCTATCATGGTCAGTGCATAATGGGCATCCACTCATGAGCTCTGCTGCGGTGCCAGCAGCCCCAGATTTGATAAGCTGGGCTCTGACAGGCAGTAGGAGACAGATCCAGTCCTTCCCCTCTCTGCTTTTATTGAAGCAGGGAGTGGCAGCTCCTCTACGGCAAGCCTCGTGGGCAGGGTGATACAATCCAGGCTGAAAGTAACCACCAGATTCAGACAGTGGTCTGCCTGGTAGTCTCTGCATTTATATCTTTATGTGGCTTAATGATTCCTTTTTTTTGCTAGACCTGTGTTCTATCATGAAATTGTTTCTCTTAGCACTTACAGTCTCTTCTGAAATCTTGAAACCCCAAGTAAAAATGTGGGGCAGCATCTGTATCACATGTAATGAAAATTCTCTATGGAATAGGAATAAGCCTTTACAGCAAATTGAAATTTATGCTTCTTCTCAAGACAATGAGCAATATTCAAATGAGTGAAATGAGAACCTGGCAGAATTATAAGGAGCTCTGTTTGGAAGATCCCATACAGATAAAAAGTCCGTATCCTCCATCAATTTATGTAACAGCAGTTAGGCAGAGAGAGGAACAGTCTGCAGCCTTTCAATATGAATGTTTCTGAATCCAACCAGTATGAATCTCTTACCGATTACAGTGCTATCTTTGAATTAGTTTTTGCTCCTGCCTCAATTAAGGGATACCCAAAAGAGGAGTGGCTTCATAGTGGACAGTCACTTCCATCAATGCTAAAAAGTTCTGAGTGTTGTATCAGTTCACACCAAGTCCAAGATTCAACACAGGAGGAGGCAGCATATATGGGGAAGAGATTTATATGTACATTAGTTCTCTACATAAATCCGTCTCCCTCCTGAAAAACAGCTGTGAGCTCCACTGACTCAGGGTAAGACACACAGGGTGGAAGATTTATTATTTATTTTAAAACTTTAGCAATGATGTTATTCATCTGCTAAATGACAGATCTCTTGGTAGCAAGGATTTCATGTTCAACCAGACTGCTATTTGAAGTAGCCTGAAAAGTTTGCAATCTGCTATGCAAATAAGTAAAGGAGAGAAAAGTTTGCTCAGTGGCAGCTGTAACCCATGAAAAGCAAAACAAATTCCACTCTGGCAAGGGGCTGCCCCTGTAAGTCCAGCTACTACAGTCTTCACAGCAGATTAAAACTCTGTTTTCCCCTCCAGAAGGCTTCTGTTTTACTCATGCTGGTACAAATGGGGAGCAGAAGGCATGAACTGAGAAGCGAGGTCAAAGATGGGTGTTTTCAATCAGTTGAATGATCAAACTGTGCTGCAAGCTAAATTCAGGCTGTTGTAATAGATCCCTCAAACTACCTCACTTTTCCTGTTGCTGCTCAGGCAACCAAAGCCTAAGGCCTCTGTTGCTGAGGAACAGACAATGCAGGATTGCTTATACCTCTGCTGTACTAATTATTTTTCCCCAGCCATTGCAGAAAACATCTGCCCTGGAACAATAGTCCAGGTTGTCACATCATCAGACAAGGTATCAGGAAAAGGCAGCTCTCTTCCTGTCTCTAAACACCTCAGAGAGATATAAAGAAGTTCAGCCAGGAGAAAAGCTCCTATCTTGTAATGATGAGTGTTACCATGCTGGCTTATGGATTTTCCACCATTAGTGGGAAGAGAAGGAAAAGCTTGTTCTTGCTTCAGAGGAACAAAGAAAGCACTGTGTGTGAGGGGATGCAGCAGCTGGTGGGAAGCAAGAACAGAGGCTCCATAAAACATGAGAGATGCTCTGCTCTGCTGGATGCTGTATCCAGTCCTGAGATGGTGATATGACGAGAGAGCTTTGCCCACCCACAGCCAGCACTGAGGGCTCCTGGGCCAGGCTCTTGCCCAGCTGAGCACTGACCCTCAGGCATTTACCCATGTGGTGTTTCCCTTCTCTGCTCTGTTGCGCTGAGGCACAGAGACACCGGCCACTGTACAGGCAAAGCCTTCTTCAAGATTGGCTTCACTGACATTCTAAGCCAGACGTGAGTGATGGTGCCTGGGGACTGCATTAAAACTGCTTACTTTTTCTTCTAATCTGTCAGAAGACTTTGGTATCTTCAAATGCAGCAGAAATGTCAGTTATTCTTGGGCTTTCCTGGTGTCCTTAGCTCCTATAAATTACAGGAAGGGTAAGCAACACAGAATGTGCATTATTTTCTAAATGAGGCTTTTAATTATTACAGTGCCAAGCTAGGAGAGAGCATGAAAAGAGCAAAGCCGGCAGTGACTATTATTTGAATTGTTGTGCTCTTCAAGGCTTGAAAAGGGCTGCTCTGAGCCATTGTCAAATAACCCTTTTGGTGTGGCTGGATGGCTGTTTCCCAGTACAGGGCTGCTGGGCTGAATCCAGCCCTAAGCCTTTGAGAACAGGGCTGCTGCAGAGTGACACACAGCTCTTTTCTACACGGGAATATCAAGACAGGAGTAGCGTTAAAAAATAGGTCAGAGTATTTCTATTTAAAGTACTTGTCAAGAAAGAAAAAGGTGCAGCTTGGCTTTTCTGGTTTGCATTTCAACATTTGTGAGGACTGTGATTGTGCCAGAGCTGAACTGGCAGCCTCAAGTCCAGGTCACTCTTGATGGGTGTTACTCTTGAAGGCCACCCTGTGATTCTGCCTGCAGCCCAGCTCCTGTGCCTGGAGCTCCTGCTTCCTGGGGAGTAACTGAACACACAGGAAAATGTTCGTAGTAGGTAAAAAAATGCTCTTACAGTCTTGGCTTTGTTGGGGCTACCTATCTGCCAGGCTGATCTGGAATAAAATAAAGCACAGTATCAGATCAAATTCACTAATAGCAAAATCCTATTAACTGTGCATTTTCTCACATAGAAAGGCTAGTCATGGGGTCCTCAGTAACAGTGGCCTCATTCTGCAGGGCAGATCTTATTTTACATTCTTGGGGCCAGACACCAGTTGATGTAAGTAACTGTATCTCCAAGCTGTAGCCACCCTGAATTATGCCAGCTACATGTTGACCCACTGTTAATTGCACATATTACAATTCTCTGGAATTTCTCTTGCCACAGACTGAAGTAAAAAAAATATTTTCTGGTGGTGAAAGGTCAGTAAACATATCTGAAATGAAACAATCTCTTTGTGATTGTGATAATGCTTTAAGAATGATTTTGTCCTTCCACAAATATAACATACATGGTCTGTCTAGAAGTTTTGAGCAAAAATGCTTGTTTACAATGACTACAAGTAAAACAACAAATAATTTCCACTTATAAATACAACTGCTATTCCTGAGTTTTAACCTATCTGCATGTGAGTCCTACTCCTGGGATTTGCTGATGATTGCTTGCCTGTTTCCTTTACTTACGCGTTGTAAGACCATCCCTAGGGCAATGCCTGTTAATTTCTAATTTAGACTGGTTTAAGTAGCCCCGTTATTCAGCAACCCTTAGACAGACAGAACTAGATTTCTGGACTTGCTTTTCCTCAAGTCAGCTGAAATCAGGCTGAAGGTGAAGAGTCTGTAATCACTTAAGTGCAGTATCAATTTAAAGGCCTGTGCCTGTCTCCTCCCTAGAGCTGGATGGTTTGGCAGAGAAGCCCAGTTCCTGGTGGCAGGGCAGGGGTTAACCTCCAGCTTGTATGGAAGAGCTCATCTCCCTAGCCTGAACTGCTCTGGTTTTTCACTAAGTCATTGCTCCAACCTCATCTGCTGTTTCTAGGAGAACCAGCAGTCTAGGGAGCATAGGCTTGTGCCTCCTTGCAAGGGGCAGGAGCAGGACAAGCACCCTTGACCCACCTGGCCTGGCTGATTTGTCCTGCAGCCAGACAGTGTGGGTCACCCTCCAGACTGGTTGCTGTGAGGAGCTACACAACAGCCTGTGGCAGTGGCAGGCAGCCCAGGATGAGACTGGCAGTACACTTGAGTTGTTCTGAGCCCTTAGGATACTCTGTGTCTTTGGTGTCTCCTCTTTTTCTGCCAGGAAGGTCCCTTGCATTCATGCCCTGTTGTCCTAGAGAGAAGCAGGAGAGGCTCAGACACAGACCCTGTGTATGCCAGACACCATCCCATCTAAACCTTCATCTGCCCAGCCAAGTAAACACTATGAAGCTATTAATATCCTGTGTTCCTTCCACCCTTCATGCTCACCCTGTTAAAGCACCAGTGCCTTTTTACACAGCCCATGGCCTGTTCCAGACCTATGGAAGTCACGCATAAAAGTGCCTGTCAGACAGTGTGCTATGCAATGATCTCAGGCTTTGGAGCAGGGGCTGTCATTTCACTCGACTGGAGGCTGTTTCCCTCACTCTGACTTTACCAGTGAGCACATTCAGTAATCACCAAAAATCTCCTGCATTACCTCCAAGAGGGTGGCAAAAGTGAAAGGCGTGCACACACACACACACACACACACACACACACACACACACAAACACACACACACACACACATTCATTAGTCTTCATATAGAAAAGAGAGATAAAATCATCAGTAGGCTTAACTGCTTAATATTTCCTCCTTGGATTTCTAACTTGATGGTATTTAATGAAAAGTGACTTTGTAAAAGAGAAGGAAAATAATTAGATTCCTTCAGTTTGTGCATCTCAATTGATGCAGACACTATAAACAAGTATTAGTCTAAGAGCTCCCTAGGCATCTTAAATTTCAGAGACATCACAAGTCACAGAATCCAGTCTAGATTTTCATCAGAAGTATTAGCATTGATTTCTTACTAACCCTCAATCTAGTTGCATAACAGAATAAATTTTATATTCTCTTTCCCTGTTTTGGAATTCAGCCCTTCCCTCATGCTGCAAGGAGGTATGATTTATTTGTCCTTGTAAGAACCCATAATTAAAGTACACATTGATTACACAATGTCTGACATAGCTACAGATTCTGTGCACTGTAAGTGGGTTTTGAATCTAGGGAATGTGACACAGCTGAGACTGCATATGGTTTGGTGTTACATGGGAGGAATTTATGGGAGATACTTGGAAGCAGAAATCAGATGAAAGGAGAGAATCATCATTTTCTGCTCGTCTAAATATGAACATGAATAAGGCTGTACACAGATTTTCCACATTAGTCGAGGAAAAGGATTATGAACACTTCCTCTAAGTGATAGCATTATAAAATGCTCATTTGACATGTGAAAAGCTTTATTCTGTGATTTAAAAAACAATGACATAGTCATTAGGCCAAAGAGACCTGTATTACTTGAAATGTTAGAGCATAATTGAATATAGATCATTCATTGACAGATGAATAGTTCTGAATTCCTTCTTTGAATAAAGTTTCAAAAAATACCAAAGAATGTAATCAATTTAATACCAGGAACAACCCATCAGTAAAGCAGACATAGGATTCATCCAGGCACTGCAAACACTTAGAATATGGAAACATATTTCAGCCTCAGACTTCCCTGAATTCCTTACATAGGATGGGGAGAAAATGACTGTAAAATGTAAGCCATCTTGATGGTCTTTTATTAGGTGATGAAGTAATTTGAATCTGGTTTTCATTTGGATCTGGATTTACCTGTGTCATAAGAAATGATGGAAAGCCTTTGCTGTGAGTTATTAAAAAATCTAGAGGCTGAATTCAGTCCTTTCCTTGTCCAACACTTGCTGAGCCTTTGTTAGCCAGCATTGTTCACATCTGCTTACGGAGAGCCCACCGAGAAGCATGTGATCTAGTTGTTGCTATGGTATCTAGTGGGATTTTAAGAGAATAACAGAAGAAACCATGACAAGAAAAGAACCTCTCCAACTAACACCTGAGTTAAAGGGACACTGCCAAAAATTATGAGTTGAACATACTGAACCTTTATTTGTTAGGGTTTGGGGTTTTTTTGGTTTGTTTGTTTGGTTTTTTTTTCTGAAGGAGTTGAATATTTAGCACTCCAGTGAGAATTAAGAGCACCTGGAGCCTCTGGGGGCTAAGGATATCAATACCAATAATAGTAATGTGATTTATTTTGAAATGTCTCCTTACTTTAGCAGAACATCTGCTTTGTACTGAGCTCTTAAACATTGAGTAATATAATTGAGTAAAACATCAGTGCAAGAGCACCAATATCCAGTTTCTTACAGAAATCAAAGTGTAGATGAGGGTACAACAGCCACCTTGAACCAACATTTCCCTGCTTCCTGTTCAGTCCTGCCAGACTACAGACAATGTGAAGACATCACAACATCGTTCCCCAGATACTTTCCGAAGCAATATCTCTTACACTGATGTTCTGCTGCTGCATTACACCTATGCCTATCAGAAAAACCAACATACAGAATGAGCTACTGGTTCCATCTTCTTCTTCAGACAGAGGTTTTCCAAGAGCTGCCCAATAAGCAGTGAAATTATAAGGGGTGTTTGGCTGAGTTCAAAACAGCCTTTTGTGAGATAGCCAACAAGCTGGAGCCTGCAAAACCTCAGAAGAGTGGGCTTTCTCTCATTTCTGCTTGTACTTCCCTGAAGTGAGTTGGTCAAAAATACTGGGATTACTGTTCTGGCTTTCTTTCATTCCTTTGGCTAGACAGGCTCAGCCTGTGCTAACCAGTTTTGTGAAAACAAGGTACTACAGATGGAGAATCCTTTGCTCCAGGCCCTGGAAGACATCCATGAATAAGAGAATACCTATTTGAGATTACATTATATTTGGTCATAAAGTGGTTGTGAAGCAGCTGTCCTTGCTCCGGGGGAAGTTTTCTCTCTCTGGCATCACATCCTTGAGGTCTCAGAGCTATTTTCGATGCTTGGGCATTAACTTATAGTCACCCAAAACACTCCAAAGTGGAGGGATTTTGATGCAAAAGCCATAGGGAAATCAGAGCAACAAGCACTCAGAAAGTTCAGTCTGCCATGGTGCTCTACCCACCTGCTTGAGGAGCCCCCAAACCTCCTCACTGGGTGTCTGTCCTTTCTCTCTGCCATGATGTGGCTGTGGGCAGCTGTAGCTATGTCCAGAAGAGCCTCTGTGTGATGCCCTGACCAGTCCTTGTGACCCAGTGTACTGAGAGGTGCCAGTGCCCTCCCACCTGGGAAGAGCAGAAGTTTGGGGTTTCACCTAGTTGTCCATGAAGCTGTGAATTTTTTCCTGATGTTTCCTCTATTTCTAGCATTAACCTAATGATGATAACCTCTGAGAGCCATCACTATGTGTACCTGCAGAACAACTGTGTGTTCCTTGCAAAGACAGAGGACCAGACGTGGTGCTAATGATAGAACAATGCAGGCTGGCTTGAATGAAAATGATCAAATAATCTGCTTTCCTGACTTGAACACAGATAGTTTGCTCTGTCAAAGCTAGGAGAGGGCTTAAAATCTAATTTTTGCTCCCTAGGTCCTTTTGATTATAGCCTTCATGAATTAATCAGGAGAATACTTGGTGTAGTAGGTGGAGATGTGAGAGGCTGTTTATGTTCAGCAGGAACACAAAATGCTTTGTAGAACTAATCTATAAAACAAAGACTAGGAAGAATTGTATGCAGTTTAATAGCTCACTTATACAACTTGATGATAAAATATGCATAATCCAATATTATATGGCTTTTTTCCCCCTGACAGGACATGAATAATTGAAGATTTTTTTTTTCAACCACAAACCTCATCTCATGACCCAGTCAAATATTGTCGTCTTAGAATGTTTTACCTTGCAAACCAAACTAAGAGACACTGCATTCTGCATGAGTAGTCCTGCTATGCACACATGACAGAGCAGCAGGGCTGGGATGAGAAGTGACTTTCATGTGCTTCCAAGATATTTCTTGTAACTGGTCTTTAAAAGTCCATATGC